TAAGACTGGTTAAAAGAAATAAAATCCCTGATCTCCACTTTACAAATAGCAAGAAACAATTGATTTGTTTAACCCTAACAATGAATAAGTTAACAGAATTACTAACAAATGAAATAAGTCCTCCCTCGACTATTAACTACTTCCTAACTGGTCTGGATTCTCCTGGAATACTGTTCAAATAAACAAGTCCTTCATATATTAAACCCAATTAATAAGACTACAATGAATTAAAATGTAATCGTTCCAAGTTCACACAGTCTATGTCTTCTCCGCTATATCTCCAATCTTCCTTCTGTTGCTCACGTCACAAACGCCTTTCTTCCGATGATTCTGCTGTTTTGAATGTTTTTCCCTTTAATTTCTTCAGTGAGGACGTTGAGCTAAAATGCTGTAGTACCTTTGATGAGTCTTTTCAGACAGCTTAATAATTTTTTGTGTAAACCAAGTTTGTATCTAAGGTCGTGGACTTGCTTTCCCTGCAGCTGAAGTTTGGCTGTCCCCTCAGGTGGCAGTTGGCTCTCTCCCAATTTTCCAAATGCCCCCCTCTTTATACCCGTAATGACATAATAGTATTTCTCATGTAGGATTGGTTTGATGTTATCAACACAACCTGATTTAAATTCAATTGGTTTTGGTAGTTCAGGGCCTAATTCAAAGTTGTTGTCCAGACACCAAACCAAAACTGCTGTTTTGCCTGCCAACTGTAAGACCTTTTGATACACTTGTTTCAATTTTGGGACTCTGTACCGGCAACCTCCTGCTCACAGACATACATTTTAAATATCTAAGCACAAAAAAAACCCTCACCTCTTAAAGGAGTTACGCATTCTTTTCTCCACTATCATTTTTACCAATAAATTCTAACTTCTTGCCTTACCATTCACAAATACTTTGCAACTTCACATCAAGTCGTAGAGTTGTACAGCATGGAAACAGACCCTTCGGTCCAACTCGCCCATGCAGACCAGATATCCTAAATTAATCTAGTCCTATTTGCCAGCATTTGGCCTATATCCCTCTAAACCCTTGCTATTCATGTACCCATCCATGGCTTTTAAATGTTGTAATTGTACCAGTCTCCACCACTTCCTCTGGCAGCTCATTCCATACATGCACCACACTCATTGTGAAAAAGTTACTCCATAAGGTCCCTTTTAAATCTTTCCCCCTCACCTTAAGCCTATGTCCTCTAGTTTTGGACTCCCCATCTAGGAAAAAGACCTTGGATGTTCACCTTATCCATACCCCTCATGATTTTATAGACCGTTAGAAGGTCACCCCTCACCTTCTGACACTACAGAGAAAGTAGCCCCAGCCTATTCAGTCTCTCCCTATAGCTAAAACCCTCCAGCTCTGGCAACATCCTTGTAAATCTTTTCTGAACCCTTTCAAGTTTCACAACATGCTTCCTATAACAGGAGACCAGGTTTGCATGCAGTATTCCAAATGTGGCGTAACCAATGTCCTGTACAGCTACAACATGACCTCCCAACTACTATATAAAGGCAAGCATACCAAACCTTTTTCACTATCCTGTCTACCTGAGACTCAACTTTCAAGGAAACATGAACCTGCACTCCGAAGTCTCTTTGTTCAGCAACATTCCCCAGGACTTTACCATTAAGTGTTTCAGTTCTGCCCTGATTTACCTTTCTAAAATCCAGCACCCGACATTTGTCGACATTAAACTCCATCCGCCACTCCTCGGCCCATTGGCCCGTCTGATCAAGGTCCTGTTGTACTCTGAGATAACCTTCTTCGCTGTCTACTACACCTCCAATTTTGGTGTCATCTGCAAACTTACTAGCCATACCTCCTAAGTTCACATCCAAATCATTTTTATAAATAACGAAAAGCAATGAACCCAGCACCGATCCTCATGACACACCGCTGGTCACAGGCCTCCAGTCTGAAAAGTAACTCACCACCACCACGATTTGTCTTCTACCTTCAAGCCTGTTCTGTATCCAAATAGCTAGCTCTCCTTGTATTCCATGTGATCTAACCTTGCTAACCAGTCTACCATGAGAAAACTTGTCGAACGCCTTACTGAAGTCCATATAGAACATGTCCACTGCTCTGCCCTCATCAATCCTCTTCATTGCTTCTTCAAAAAACTCAATCAAGTTAGTGAGACACGGTCTTCCATGCAGAAAGCTGTGTTGACTATCCCTAATAAGTCTTTGTCTTTGAAAATACATGTAAATCCTGTCCCTCAGGATTCTCTCCAACAACTTGCCCACCACTGATGTCAGGCTCACCAGTCTATAGCTTCCTGGCTTTTCCTTACCACTTTTCTTAAATAGTGGCATCACATTAGCCAACCTCCAATCTCCCAGCATCTCATGTATGACCATTGATGATACAAGTATCTCAGCAAGGGGCCCAGCAATCACTTCCCGAGCTTCCCACAGAGTTCTAGGGTACACTTGATCAGGTCCCAGGGATTTATCCACCTTTATGCATTTTAAGACGTCCAATACCACCACCTCTGTAACATGGACATTTTTCAAGATGTCCCTACTTATTTTCCCACGTTCTCTATCTTCCATTTCCTTCTAGACAATAAACTCTGATGCAAAATACTCGTTTAATATATCCCCCATCTCCTGCAGTTCCACACATAGGTGGCCTTGCTGATCTTTAAAGGGCCCTATTCTCTACCTAGTTACTTATTTGTCCTTAATTATTTGTAGATTCCCTCTGGATTTTCCTTAACCCTATTTGCCAGAGCTATCTGATGTCCCATTTTTGCCCTCCTGATTTCCCTCTTGAGTATAATCCTACTGCCTTTGTACTCTTCTCGGGATTCACCTGATCCCTGGGTAATCCAAGATGGCAGACAGGAGAAAATTGTGGCTGTAAGAACTCCTTTTTTTGGGTTATTTTCAGTGTTGGAGCTGATTTCCTCAAATTCTAGGAGTAGTAATTACTGTTTTATAAGCTGCTGCATTGTTTTGGAACTTTGGGGTTAAAAAAAGAAAAAAGATCAAAACAATAGCACTTTTAAAAAGCAGGAAGAGAGACAAAGCATTGACCACATTGGAAGTGAAACAAACGGAGAAGTAAACCTGCACAGCTGTCTGACCCAGCAGTGAGCCTGCACAGCTGACTGCCTCTGTTGTTTCATTTCAAGTATCTCTGGACATTGGAGTTTTGTCGAAGAAAAACAAACAAATAGTGAAATGCACAGCTGACCTTCAAAAAACCTGTGTAGGGAGCTGCAGTGGGGACCAGCTAAGTGGCTAGTTTTTAAAGTGTAACCTGACTCTTTTTTTTTGTAAATCTACAATAGTGAGGAGAGTGGGTTCTTTTTTGATTATATGTTTTTTATTGATATCTGTCTCTTGATTAAACTTTAAAAGTATAAAACATAGGTACTAAGTTCGCCTGGAGCAGTGTTTTTAGAGTAGTAAGAGTGGGCTATTTGCTAGGTTTATAGATTGGTAAGGTGCAAAGATGACCTTTAATAGAGTAATGTGCTTTTCCTGTCAGGTGTGGGAGAGTAGGGAGAGTTTCCATGTTACTGATGATTATGTCTGCAAGAAGTGCATTTGGCTGCAAATCCTATTGGATCTTCTGGATTTATTGGAGCAGCAGTCAGAGGCAGTGAGAAATTTACAGGAGCCAGGGGATGTAATGGATGGTAGTTACAGAACATAGAACAATCGCAGATACAGTCAGTCACTTACCCCCGGAAAGGTAGGAGAGGAAGGCAGGTAGTGTAGGAGTCTCCATCTCAAGCAAGTATGCTAATTGGAAAATGTAGGCAAATTCTGAAGCACTGGTACTGAGACTGGATCTAAAGAAACGAGGGGTTCATCAGGTTCCAAGAGATCGATTGTGATAGGGACTCTTTAGTCAGAGGCGCTGACAGACGTTTCTGCAGCTGACAACAAGATATCAAAATGGGTTAACGTAGATTCAATGGGCCGAATGGCCTTCTCCCAGACTGTGAGGATTATATGTTTTCAATAATCACCACCAAGACATAGATGCTTTTCCCAGTAGACTCCCAGGCAATTTGGGAGGGTAGGCAAACCTAGCCTGCAGCAAGATCCCAAGATTTCACAAATTTGTGGGAATCATAATTTTATCCAGAAACCACAACTTTGCGATCATTTTGAGAGTTAGCATTTCTGGAAACAACTAGAATCGTACTGTATAGATAATAAAACCCATTTTTAAATTTGTTTTGGAGGTGGAGATTTCAATACTTTAAAATACTTGCATGGAATTATGAATGAAGTAGGACTCCAAGCAGAACCCCATGTTCTTGGTATCTCACAAGATATGACCACATTTTATCCATGTTATTTATTCAATTGGCCACATCACACAAGTCATTACAAAAGTAGAGACAACAATATAAGGAGTAATAGATGATGACCCCAAAATAAAAGTTGAAACAACTATTTTGGGCCTCCCAATGTGTACATTCACAAGGGTTGTTAAGATTAGATATGCCGTGCATAGAAATTTTGAAACAAATGTGAGGCCATTGAATAATTATTTTAATAGAAACCATGTGCAGTATAATGGGGAAAAGACAGGAGTCTGGCACTAAGTTAAAGTTCTCAGCTGGTGCAAATGCATTTGGCTAAATAGCCTCTTTCTGTATCATCATGATTCTGTGAGAGTAAGATTATTTCCTCTGTTCACCTGAAATTAAGAAGTAATCCATTTTATACTTGTGTTATATTGGAGGTTATGTATCCCCCTGTTGAGTTGAAACTGGATATTGTATCAAATAAATAAGCAGCACAAGAAAAATCTTCACAAGCATCTATGGAACTGATAGCAATACACATGGGGTGCAATGAGCAATTTCTCCCTATGCTGAAGGTGCAATGTTGATGATCCATAGAAAATCATTAAAGTGGAGTAAATATGAACTGTCATTGCAATTTGAAGTAGTTCCAACTCCAGAATATCTTAGTTTAGAAATGACACATGCATTTGTAGATCTAATTGTCTCTCCCTCTGATTTTCAAATGCAGTTCCAACGTCTAGCCCTGAGAACTTTGAGGTGAAGCCATTAGGTGAACAAGGAAGAGCAGTCACTGTATCCTGGGATCCTCCTATTGACAACAAAGGAAAAGTCACAGGTAGGATGTTTTTCAATACTATTTTGAAAATCATTAAATAATACCATGACGATCATTGTACTTCTCTCCATTTTAAAAGGAAGAGTACATAAACCATTCTTTCAAATTGAATTCTCACCAGGGAAATGAGAGCAGTTGTTACTATGAATCCAGTCCAACAGTTTCATATCTCAAGTTTCTGGAAAATGTAACTCTGTTACCACCAAAGTGCTCAGAGTGTCACACAAATGGAAAGTTAAAAAAATTAGAAAAAAATATGAATTTTCCCAGAAAGCTGAAGTAGGTGTCAACAATGTCAGAAAGCTTATCTGAGCAGTTGCATATTGACATTTGTTGATTGATATCCTTAGCATAATTTCGGAACCTATAACAGGAATTGGCATACTGAAAGAATGGAAACTAGCTTACTGAAATTGATGCCCCACACCAGCCGATTATCAAACAGTCCCTTTATTTGCTTTCATGAGCTAATCAATTTCTTTTCTAATCAACTGAATGTGGATTTCTTGATTACATGGCAGACCAGATGCCAATTTTGCCTCCAATGTTCCATATCATATTAGGGCTGAATCCCTAATTAGTGCACAGAAGAGAAGGCACGACATCCTCAATTTTTGGAGCTGCTAATGCCATCCCAAGTTGGAAGCAGCCATTCTGACTTGGAATTGTCATTCCTTCAACGTTGATGGGTCAAAATCCTGGAAGTCCCTTCCTGACAGGAGCACTGCAGCAAGGTCTGCAGCAGTTCAAGAAGGCCGCTCACAAACACCTTTTCCAGGATATGAGGAAGGAGCACTGAATGCAGGCCTTCCCATCCCATGAAAGTCCCATGATTAAAAAATTAAAAAATATTGTCCAATCTGGGTTAGATCCCTATTTGTATCTGGGATCAGAGAAAAAGTTATCTACATCTCTGGCTAGGGCAATTTGAGTCTAACTTCTCATGCAGGATCCTGATTACTAACTGCAGTGCAGCAAACCATGCAGGCTGCATGGGAGTAAGGTTTATAGAAGCCATGCCTTTTTCTCGAAGAGGTCCAGGTGCAGTTTAATTGCACATCAAAAGTTAGTTTAGACTTCCCACACAATTCCTAGGAGTTGGTGCTTAGGTCTTCTGAGGGGTTTTACTGGGCACATTCCTGTAGTAACCATCTTCTAATCTGAAAATTTGGGCCTGTGTTCATCAAATATAACTATTGATCACTCAAATATTAATTTATTTATATTTAAATCTATATTTTATGTCTGTATGATCATATTAGAACTGTAAATGTCATACATTAAATATTTCATGAAGGCTCGGTTAAATGTGTTACTTTAGAATTAAATGACAGTAGAAAAATTTCTTCGTGAAGAATTTAGTTTCAAGATAATATTCCATTATTTTGCAAAAATTAAGGTAATTTTTATTAGTTTATTGATATATACCAATTAATTATGCATTTGGTTGTTAATATTTCTTTTGTTTTGTTTATATAGTATATCGCCTATCTAATTAGTTGTGGATTGCATGGAGTGTGTCATGTATTTTGTCTCAATTCTAACTCATTTTGTTATAGACTCAATTGCTGTTTAGTGCATTGCTAATCAGTAAATATTAGCAATGCACCCTGTGATTCGTTCTTCCCATACAGTCTCTCCAGTGGAAAAACAGAGTTGTTTTCAGTTGTCTCCTTCCAACCATCTGCCAAATCATTTCAGAATACATTGTTTCATACGCCCCGGCTCTCAAACCATTCGGAGCAAAGACTATTTCTTTTACTGGGGATGTTACAACTGCTGTAGTTGATGGCCTGCAACCTGGGGAGCGCTATATTTTCAAAATTCGAGCAGCAAACCGGAGAGGACAAGGTCCTCAATCAAAAACCCTCAGTGTTGCTATGCCAAAAAGTAAGCATTATACTCTTTTATGATGTGGCCTTTTATCAGCTCCAAAAGCTTTTCACTGGCATAAACACTATCTTGATGACATCTTTAGCTTCTTCGCAAGTTCTGTTGTGCACAGTTCATTACAACTGATGTTGCACTAAAAAATATAGACCTCTTGATTCTGTATTTGAGCCATAGAATTGTACCATGTGTTCTAAATTTTGAATATCTATCATTACAATAACTATAGTTAGTATTAATTTAGAGTTATCACTAAGGAGAAAGACAGTTTGAACAGAAATTCCAAGCATTATATTCTAATATTTCAATTATAATTTTTAAATCATAGATTTTAGTTTAATCAGGAATGGAATTTAAGCAACAAGATTAACAACTGGGTATCAATTGCAAATAAGGGTCAGGTGCATGTTATAGAAGGTGCAATAAAAGCATAAGATATTGAAAACACTCAGCAGTCCTGTAGTGTTGTGAAGAGAGGCAGAATTGATGTTTCAAGTATATGACCATTCTTTATTGACCTAAAATGTCAACTTTGCTTCATTCTTTGCAGGTGTTGCCAAATCGCCTGAGCACTTCCAATTCTTTAAAATCTTAATCAGATTTCTAGTGTCTACAGTATTTTATTTTCACTCTAGCAACAACAAATGTCTGAAATATGAAACAGAGATAACTACAAGTGGACAGATCAGTCAGCATCTGCAAACAGGTTAATGCATGTGGGGTAATTTGTTTCTATATATGTGGCGAGATGGCAAGAACTGCTGATGCTGAAGTCAGAGCCATTACAGTGTAGAGCTGGAGGAACACAGCAGGTCAGGCAGCATCAGAGGAGCAGGAAAGTCAAAGTTTTAGGTTTACACACTTCATCAGCACTGACCTGTTGTGTTCCTCCAGCTCCTCCTTTATATGCTGACTTACCTGTTGCATGACTTTAGCGATTTTGTTGGATATAGACTAATTTCTAATTATACAAGGTGTGATCTCAGTGGCTCTGATTGGATAAAATTGGGTTACGTTTAAGAGAAAACAGGAATTTTTAATAGTTGCTAGATTGTGATAATGGGATCCATTCTTTTATGAACTTTGGGTTATATTAACAGTTACAATATTTTATTGGACAGGATAATCCAGCGAATGAGACTTCAGATCTCACTATGGAAATTTGAGAATTTGAATCAAAATTTAATTTTAAAAGAACAAGGAATATAAAGTTGATAACAGAAATGGATAGTGAATCTATTGAATAGTCAAATAATCCAACTGATTCACCAATGTTCTTCAGAGAAACACACCTGGTGTGTTTAACTGATATGGTCTATATACACTAGAATTGCCAAACCTCCAGGAAATAAACTTCCCAGAAGAGAAGGACCTTCAGGACAATCTTATGAGCAACTTGGGAGAAAAATCACAAAGCCATTAATTTATTTTCCCTTCATTGTGTTTGCTTATTAGTTATAAAATATTGCAGAGAGGAGTGAGGTATAAGGTTGCTTGAACTGACAGTTAAGAATCATCCAAAAGAACTACAAAGATCTGCTTACCGTCCTAATTTGCATTTAAACATTGACATGTCATCCTACTGGTGGTCAAATTGTTTGCGTGAATCAGGGAACTTGATGAACTATCACCAGTACAAATTCATCTAGATATAATGCGGTTGACTCTTAGCTATCCTCTTGTTGAAAAAGCTATTCAAGTTGTATCAAATTGCTCAAAAGGCTCTCTGCCATGTTCTTTGTGCAACTTAGAGTGTGCAACAAATACTCGTCTTGATATCGACAGCCACATCTCAGGAATGAATACTATGTGAGAAACAAAATGCCTAGTGTCGAGCAGGAAGTGTCTAACAACATTCAGACAACAAGGTCAATGTTCTTGCATCATTTCCTACCTATAAGGTTTTTCTGGAAGGATTAACTTGCAACATCTGGGCCAGCAAGTCTCAGCATGTACAAGTTTAATAATATGTGATGACTGAGCTTTTGTTTGATTGCAAACATAAGACAGAAAACCACAGACAAGAACAGAATCAGAATTCTACCCCTTTGGATCTGCCACAATTTGTAACAGTACAACTTTGAAGCTTTCAGTTTTCATAGGAGGTTTCATAGGACCCTTACAGTGTGGAAACAGGCCATTCAGCCCAACAAGTCCACACCACCCCTCCGAAGAGCATCCCACCCAGACCCATTCCCCTACTCCTGCATTTCCCATGTCTAAACCACCTAACCTAAACATCCCCTGGCATTACGGACAATTCAGCATGGCCAGTCCACCTAGCTTGCACATCTTTGGACTGTGGGAGGAAACCGGAGCACCCGGAGGAAACCCACGCAAACACGGGGAGAATGTGCAAACTCCACACAGACAGTCGCCCGAGACTGGAATCGAACCTGCGTCCCTGGTGCTGTGAGGCAGCAGTGCTAACCACTGAGCCATTGTGCCACCCAGTTTTATAGCATCTATGCCCAAAAAAAATGAAAATATTCATATAATAAAAATTCAAGTGGGATTATCTGCTGGTATTTAGACATTTAAAATTAAAATAGCATCAAAGAAAAGGAATTTTGAGAAATGCCAATGATCATTATAAATTTGAAACATACATCATAAATGAATGTTGGGCTTGGTCAGTTTTGAAAGGAGTGACTCTGAGGTGACTTAATTGAAATCTTAAGGATTGCAAAGATAATGGATACATTTCAGTCAGGAAAGTTATTCACTAGGGTGAAGATTTCAAATATTAGGAACATGTTAAAAATTATTATATTGGAAGCAATTCCAGTTAAAAGTAATAGAGGTATAGATCTCAATAATGTAATGATTGATGCCTGAAGCATTAAGCAGCAAGTCCCTCAATATGGGATATGGAAACTGCTTCAATGTCCAATTTGTCTTGTGTTTCTTTGGCTTACAGAATCCAATTAATGAAAAGGGCCATTGTGCCCCAAATTTATTTTTCGTACTAAATACAATTCACCTAGTAGGGCTTCTATGCTGTTGATGTCTTACATTCCAGCTGTTTCCATTCCCCTTAGAACCCAAAATGAGCAGAGTCGGTTGGACACCATTTATATTTTTATGAATGAGTTGAGCCCCTGTCTTGCAGACTTACTGAGGCACAGGCTCATGCAGAAGCTCAGAAGCAGTGTATCCAGCAGCGCTGCTTGAGGATGGCATTATTCATCATTCTGGAGCCAGATACCAGAGCAGATTGATATTTGCAATGGTTCATTAAGGGATTGGGTTGAGGAATAAATCAAATAGGTGGATTTGATCCATCAGAAGTCTTCTAGCTGATTGGTTCCACTGATTTCTTGTGAGTTGTATTTCTGTGTTCTCATAAAAACCAAGATTAGTGAAGAAAAGAAAAATACACTCAAAGTTGGAAGAAAACAATTCGTGTAGTGGAGGTAAACAATTAAAACTTTAAAAGTCCTACACCCAGAATCTGCTGAGAGGTGCAGCTGAAAAACAGATAACATAGACACAACCCTTATCTTTAACATAAACTGTTTCACTTCCTATTCACATTTGAATTTTTAAAAATAAATCATCATTTTGGAGTAGAAATTTTAATCAGCTACCTTGTGCAACATTAGATGTCATTTTCTGTGCATTGCTTGCTGCATGACTTCTGAGTTTCTAGCCACTTCTCTATGAATGTTTGCTTGGTACTTCCAATTTTAGGAAAAAGTAAAAATAATCTCCGATTGGACGATAGAGCACAGCTGTTTAATTCTACAATTTTTAATGTCTTTTTTAAGCTGCTTTTGTTATTTCATGCAAAAGTAATTTTTGAACTTAGCCTTACCAAATGGTCGTATTTATATTAAATAATTTTCTCTGGTTTTCTTGGTAGGTACTAATATTGCTGCAACTTCTCATCATAGGATTCGTGACAAATCTCAAACTTCTCGAGGATATGAATCATCTTCAGTCTCCAAATATTTATCCAAAAAGCCTTCTTCACATTTGCCACCTTTTCCATCTAAACCCATCTCTGGTTTCAGAACCAATACAAGAAAGTTTTCCCCTCTCTTTCCTGCTTCACGTTCACGATCATTACAGTCACCTGAATCTGTTACAAAAACAAATGAAAGCTTACATTTCTCCTCTTCATCATTAATCCCTCCTTCCCCTCCCTCAACACCATTAAAACATGCAGCTACAAGTTTCAGGAGAAATAGTCAGCTGTTAACTAAAGCAAGATCTACCTCCTCTGCAATCCTATTCAACAGAAACCCAACTCAGCTAAGAATACCAAATTCCAAAGTAAGTCTTAAAAACCAACTAACTTCTGGGCCATCCCCTGTTCAGACACAAAATGAAATAAAAGAGCCAAGACCCGATCCATCTAAACTTCTGACTTCATCAGCTTTTCCCTCTGTGAGATCGTCGTCTGTGTTTGCAGAGGAAGATAAGGAAGAGAAAAGTGTAGAAGAAGAGGAGGAGGAAGCTAAAGAGATAAATGCAAAAAACAAGAATCCCATTTTAACAGAGCAGAAGCAACCTTACCGTGGTTCAACACTGAATAGACAGCCTTTAGTTTCCCAGTTACCAAAGTCATTCTCTGCTCCTGATCCTAGATCAGCACGGCCATTATCGAGAACAACTTCAAATTCACGTTCTTTTATGACTGCAGCTTCCCTGTCTTGGCCAAGTTCTAATAGAACAAAAGTGGACAATGATAATGATAAAAAGCCAGCTTCCGTATCTTCAACACACTCAACTTCACAAAGAAATCGTGCCACAGGATCAAGTTTTATTAAAACCAGACTTGTATATGAAACTCCAAAAAATATATTTATTTCTGTTTCTCCACAACCTAATCCTCCTCCTGTGTTATCTTCATCTTCAGCATCCAATGGAAATGATCACCGAACTTCATGGACAGATCCTCTCTCTCATTCGAGAAATAACAAACTATTGCCTGGTACTGATCCTAAGGAAGTTTACTCTTCTTACTTTGGAAGAAAACTAACTGGCTCTAGTAGTTCTTCGCAGTACTTTCCATCTTCATCAGTTCAGTCTTCATCTATACCCTCAGGAAACTCTGACAAATCTTCACTATTAAATCCCAGCACAGGTTCTAGACATTCTAATACCATGCTGACATCAAGTGCTGAAAAAAAGCCTGTTTCATCTTCCATTTCCTCTCAGTCCCATTCATCTTCATCAATCCTAACTTCCAGTTCTGGATCCTTAGAAGATTCACACTCATTTTTGCCAACAAATCACCTTTCTACCTTACACTTTGCAAATGTCGGAACATCTGACAGTAAAAGTAAGCCATCTTTCTCTTCAGTACCTTTCCGAAATCCTACCTCTCCAACTTCACAGGGACGCACTCATCTACCTGAACTAAGAAATTCTTACATAAGGCCTAATGGTGCCAAAAAAGAACTTGTAGCCAGTCACCCAACAAAACCAGTTACCTCTTTTGTAACCCAATCTATCCCTTCTTCATCGGTTCTGTCATCTTCAAGACACTTCAGGCAACAAGCATCTTTACATTCTTCAAGCTCCAAGGAAACAGATAGAAGGCATCCTTTGTTCCCATCTTCACCACAGCTTTCTGCTTCTCATCCCCTGTCATCATCTTCACATCGACACCGTTTCCCAGGGACAAGGACAAGGACAAGGTTTCCTTCCAGGTCCACTATCATAGGAGACCTTTTACGTTCAGGGAGATTTCGGAAATTTGGCAAGTCTCCCCCAGACCAATGTGAGTATGTGCAAAATAAAAATCAGAATATTCTGGAAAGACACTGCAGGCATAGGATCATCTAAAGGGGGATATAAAAAGTCAACATTTAATGTAATTTTCCATTAAAAATTGGAAAATATTAAAAATGAACAGATTTTGTACCAAAACAGTACCAAGGAAAGTGGGTAAGGTGTGAGGGAAGAAATAAAAGGGAAAGGTCTGTGATAGCTAGAGGTAAGAAATGATTTAATGATATGAAAAATGATGGTACAAGGTGAAAATTGCAAATGAGAAAGCAAACATGGGGCAGTGTAGATCTAAGTCCTTACAGCAAAGTAGTATTGGGAACAGATGCAAAGAAAATCTAGCAAAGAGAAGCTCCCATCGTGCCAATTGTGACCTGCTGGTGCAGATCACCTTGAAGTCTATTCAAACCCTCAAACCTGTGCTGCCGTTCGGTAAGATCATGGCTGAACTGATTGTAACCTCAAATCCACATTTGTGACCACCTTTGATGATGATTTGCTCACTTTTTAAAAAAGAATCAATCCACCTTTACCTTTGAAAATATTCAAAGATTCTATTTCCACCAACTTTTCAGGAAGAGAGGACCAAAGGCACTCAACCTTGAGAGAAGAAGTTTAGCTTAATATCTGTTTTAAATACGTGACCCCTTTTTTTTTTAAAACAGTGGTCCCCTAGTTCTAGGTTCTCCCACGAAAGGAAACATCCTCTCCACATCCATGCTATTGAGACCCCTCAGGATCCTGTGTTTCAATCAAATTGCTACTTACTGTTCTAAACGCAAGAGATACAGGACTAGCCTGCCCAATAATTTCCCCAATATTTATAGCTTCTTTATGTCCTCTTCACAACTTACTTTCCCACCTTTATTTATGTTAACAGCAAATTTGGCAACCATACCTACTGTCCTTTCATTTAAGTCATTTTTATAATTGTGAACATCTCACATTTCAGCCTCATTTCAACAACTCCCAAAAGCTATAATGTAAATATTCTCTATTTGTTGTCTGAAAAATTGGAATCTATAATATCTAAAGTTTTAAACTTGATTTAGGGCCAGGAGGAAGTAAAGTGTCTCACAGGAAGATAAGGTGCTGTTCCTTGGACTTAAGCTTCACTGAAGTAGTATTGAAGGTTGAGGTCAGAGATGGGAATGGAATAAAGAATTAAAGATGTAAACAACTGGGAACCTGCAGACTATTAGAGGTGTTCATCAGAGCAATGATCCAATCTGTGTTTGACTTCTTAGATGTAGGGTAGACCAAGTCATGAGACAGAAATTTATGCTTTTGTTCCAGAGACACTGCTTGACCCAAGTCTACTGGCATTTCCTGTTGTTTTTTTCAGATTTCTAACAACCAAAGTATTTTTCTTTAGGAGCTTGAAAGCGTATCTTTATTGGAATTTTTGTCTCCACTCTTTTATTTCAAATTTTGTAATTAATCTTTGCATTAAAAAAGAACTTTTCTGTAAAATTATCAGGCAATCAATTGTAATTGAAGGATTTAACAAGAAATGACATAAATGGACACAGGAAGGGAAGCTCATAAATTACAAGCAATTATTTAAACTCAGAAAATGAAGGCCATCATTGAAGTGGTACAACAAAGAAAATCATCCAAAGGATGTTACTTGGTACAAGATCCAGGCTACCAATTCTCGCCATTATGACACCAACTATAAGTCCTGGTACTGACGTGTAAATGCCCTGCATGCCTTGAGCTATGAGCAAAATGTTTTACATGCAGTTTCTCTATAGACTGTTCCCATGAATAGTTGTTGATAGGTAGATAGTGGTGAACTATTTCCTCTAGTGGGAAAAATCAAAATCTTAAAAACAGAAACAACAACTAATTGCTTGGAGAAACTCAGGTCTGGCAGCGTCTGTGGAGAGAAAGCAGAGTTAAAAGAAGAAACGAGAAAGGAGTGAGTGGATAAGTGACGAAGTCCATGGAGACACAATAATAGGCAGACAAAGGGATGGATGATTGTATGCCAAGGGACAAAAAAGCTAATCATGGAGATCAAATAGGTGAAAATAGATTGGCCATGCTGAAAGCAGTCCATGTCATGACAGGGTATGGGTTGGGTAAAAGACATAGAAGAAAGTGTTCAGGTTCTGAAGTTATTGAAAGTTAAGGCTCCAGGTACCCCAAGTGGAAAAAAGATGCTGTACTTCCACTTTGAGCTGAACCTCGTTGGCGTACTGCAGCAGACCCAAGACAAAAATGTTGACCAGGAAATATGGTGGTGTATTGAATTGGCAGGCAACTGGAAGCTTGGGATCATTTTTGCAGACTCAACATATTGTTTCTTCCTCTGAGTTGATTGTTCCGTTCATTTAAACTACGTAACCCATGTACATGGCCGTTACCTTAATCTGTGTATCTCACGTAGGTCTTCCTAATTCCATTCTGTCAATTACGGATAACATAGGTGTTTCCACAAAGTGGTCACCCGGTCTTTGTTTTGACTCTCCTGTGAGGAGGAAATGACATTATGAACAGCGAATACAGTAGACTAGGTTAAGTGATGTGCAGGTAAATCGCTTCAACTGGAAGGTTTATCTGGAGCTTTGGATTGTGAGCTGGGGTGAGGTAAGCAGGCAAATGTTCCATCTTCTGCAATTGGTGATTGCTGTGGGGATGTGGAGAAGTATTGGGAGTGGAGGAGGAGTGGACGAGGATTTTCTGGAGAGAATGGTCTCTGTGAAGTGTTGACAAAGGAAGAGAGGGGAATATGTATCTGGTGGTGACATTCTGCTGGAGGTGAGTGAAATGGTGGCGTATAATCCTGGTGGGTTGAAAGTGTGGACTAGGGGACCCTATCAGTGTTGTGGGAGGGAAGAGAAGGGGTGAGGAAAGAAATGCAGGAAATGGATCAGATGCGACTGAGGCCTCTGTAAGCCATGGTGGTGGGAAATCTTCAGTTGAGGAGAAAGGTAGACATTTCCATAGCCTCAACTCGGAGCAACTCAGGTCTGGGAAGTTGGCTTCATCAGAACAGATGCAACAGAAATTGAAAAATTGGTGACTTATTTTATCTTTTCTCCGATCAGCCAAGCTCTATTGTTATGTCAGAAGGATTTTCATGCTAAGGATAGGCTTCCCCCAAAAAAGACCAATTGTAAGTGTCAAAACTGAGATTGATGATTTTTCCAGGGCATAGGACCAAACATAGTAGATGGAGTAAAGTTACAGATCAACAACGTTCCAGTTAGTTTTTCTCAAAGGGCTGAAAGGCCTAATACTTTTCCTATGTTTCTATTTTTATGTGCAGAATTACCTAAGAAACTGAATAGTCAGCTCAATTCAAGTAAAGCCGGGAATGGTGGACGTTTTCAAAATACAACCTCTGCCATATTCTCAAAACAGGTGTAAGATTAGGTTAAATAAACCAAGTGTATTTTACATTTTTTGTAAGATATAAAAAAATTCAATTATCTATTGAGAAACTTAAAACAAAGTCTTTGTCTAAGTACAGACTTTAAGTGGATCTCACTCGTTTACAGATTGAAATATTGTGTTAAATTGCAGGGAAGTCTGGGAGATCAAACTTAACAGGGAGTAAGGTTTCACCTAGCAGAGGCAGTAATGAAAAGGCATCTGGACGTAGGGTTATCACTGGACCTCAGGACACCAAATGGGTAAAGTATTCCTTGTACAACTAGATCATGAAAATATTAAATGCAATGTCAAAGTCAAATCACTTTAAAAAGCTTTCTCATCTGCTAATTGGATGAGGGTTGCAACTATCACTTACTAGTTTCTACCTTCAAAACAGATTGTTGATTTTGATCGAGGAATATTGATGAACCCTGAAGGTCAAATCCTCCAGGATACAGAGGGAAAACCCCTTCAGATACAACTGGGAGCAGATGGACATACAATACTAGGTTTGTGAGATTCCAGTCAAATTTCTTAAGATAATTTGGTTGCATAAAGAAACGATGATGGATGCTTAATAGACTTAACAGTATGCTCAAAAAGGTTGCCCCTGATTTTTCCTCTGCAAGTAAGAGTAATTAATATTTCCATATTGTCATTTGTTTATTATACACTGTTCTGGTTGCAATATGATACTTAGCATTGGGAATGTGACTAGTAACAGACAAGGGTTAATCCTTCTGAGACACAAGTTCAAATCCCACTACAGCAGCTGGGGAAATTTAAGTTCAATTAATTGATTGAATTAATTAAATAAAATTAGGAATAAAATGTAGTTTCAATGATAGCAACCATAAAGTTGTTAAATTAACATTAAAAAAAACCTGCTTCATTAAAAATCTGCTTCATTAACAACCTTCAGGGAAATAAACCTGCTAGCCTATGTGTGGTGCTTGATCTACAGCAAAGTGGTTAACTCTTAACTGCCCTCTGAAATGATCAATCAAGCCATCCTATGGTACCAAACCAGTACAAAACATTGGAAAATTACACTGCACTAGATTAGGCACTAGGGTTTGGAATATAAGTAAGCAAAGTAGGGTAAGGGAAGTAGAGTAAATTTAAGACTAAATAAGTAAGACTTAAGTTTAAGATATAACAGCACAGGTCATTCAAGTGGAATGTGTGGCCTGTATTATGTAGGAAGTTGGGAATCCTACCAGAGACGCAGATTCTGCAGGAAGTGCATCCCACTACAGAAATTTGAGCTCAGTTTTGGAGCTTGAATGACGGGTGGTGATTTTGTGGCATATCTGCATGGCTGAGAGTTACATGGATATCAAGAGGTGGTCACACTGCAGCTTAAGAGCCTGGAGAAAGGAACACAATCAGTGACTCCCAGGCAGTGCAAGAGAAACATTTAAGTAGTGCAAGAATTCCCTGACATCCTGTTGACAAATCAGTTTTCCATTCTGGAACTTGATGAGGGTGCAGATTCCTCAAGTGAGTGCAATCAGGGCCAGATTTGTGGCATCGTAAGTGGGTCAGCTGTCCAGGAGGTGAGAAAAAAGGAAAAAAAAGGAGGATCAGTAGTGATAGGGGAATGTTTGGGGAGCAATCAAAGGCATTTCTGTAACCGTCAAGGTGACTCTAGGATGGAATGTTGCCTCTCTGGGGCCAGGCTGTAGAATATCTCAGGGCAGCTGCAGGACACTTGGGAGAGTTTGGACAACCAGAAGTTATGGTCCACATTGGTACCAATGATTTCAGGAAGCAGGGGATGTAGTCCTACAATCAGAATTAGGTGCTTGGTAGGAAGCTAGCAAAAGGACCACAAATGTAGTAATCTCTGGATTACTCCCAGTGCCACGTGCAAGTGAATGCAGGCAAAGAAAGATAAGGCAGATGATTGTGTGGCTTGAAAGATGATTCATCTGGCTCTAATGTAGACAACAGCAAGTTAATAGATGAAGTCAGAGTAACAAAGAAAAATATGAAATCTAAATCAGAGTTACTGTGCGTGTATCTGAATGCATGGAGTATAACCATGATTGGGAGTTACAGCTGCAGATTGCTATGTGGAAATATGATGATGTGGTCAAAATGGAGACCTGGCTCAAGGGACACTGAGTGTTAAATATTCATCAGGTGTAGACCATTTAGCCTCTCAAGCCTATTCCACCATTTGATAAGATTATAATGCATCTGATTGTAGCCTTCACTTCACTTTCCTGACTGCCCCACATAACCTTGGATTTCCTTGCTCATCAAAAATGTATTAACTCAATTCTGAATATATTCAGTGATGTGGCTTCTACTGATCTCTGTAGAACAAAACCCACCGACTATCAAACTCAGAAACACTTCTCCACAACTCCATCCTAACTGGGAGATGCCTAATTTTTGAACTGCTCCTAATTCTAGACTCCTTCATAAGGGGAAACATTCAGCACCACCTCAGGATCTTCTATTTTTCAAATAAGACCCATTTCATTCTTTTAAATTTCAATGCACACAGGCCCCTGGTGTTTAGCTTTCCTCAAGTATGTCCTGTCCACTGAAAGCAAGCCGATCCATCCACTAATTATGGTACCATTAGACCACTGTCAATCAGTGTGATGGAAGGTGTCATCAAATACTATCAAGTAGCACTAGCTCAAAAATACTCTGATGCTGAATTTGGTTTTGTCAACACTACAGACTTGCTCCAAGCCTCAGTAGTGCCTTTGTCCAAATTGATCAAAAAAAAACTAAATTCCAGGGTTGAGGTGAGAGTGATTATCCTTGACTTCAAGGTAGCATTTGACTGAGTGTGGCATCAAGGAACCCTAGTAAACTTGAGTCAATGGGAGTCAAACAGCTGGGGAATGGATAGAGAATCTCCATTGGATGGAGTCATACCTAGCACAAATGAAACTCTGCAGGAGTGTCTCACCATTAATTTCCTAAGCTTAACTATTTTCAGTTGCTTCATCAATAACATTTGGTCCAAAGTAATGTGAGAAGTAACTGATGATTGCACAGTGTTTAGTATCATTTGCAATTCTTCAGATGATGAAGCACTCTCTATCCCCATGCAGCAAGTCCTGAACAATGTTCAAGCTTAGGATGATAGTAGCAAATAGCTCTCAAAACAAACTCATACAAATGCTAGCTAAAAGCTATCTCCAATTTATGAAAATCTAACCATCTTTCCCATGAAGTCTAGCATTGCTATAATCTGCTATCAATATCCTTGGGATAAGAATTGAACAGAAATTTAACTGGACGAGCTGTATAAATATTGTGGCTACAACAGCAGGTCAATAGTTGGGTAGATATTTTTAATCAACCTGATCAGATACGTTACAACACATGCCTGAGGATTTGAATCTGAGTCTCTTGGCTCAGAGTAAGAGACACTACCACTGCACTACAAAAGCCTTATCCAGTATTTGAGTAGATGTTATTAATTGACCTGTTCAGAAATGCTATTCCATACCTCTGGAGCAGGTCGGACTAGAACCCTGGCCTCATAGCTCTTGGTAGGAGCACTACCACTGCATAAAAGAACCCATTTAGTATTTGGGTAGTTATTTCTGTCAACCTGTGCAGACATGTGATAACACTCTGGAGCAAATGTGACTTGAGCCCAGGTCTCCTGATTCAGAGGTAGGAACACTACCATGCATCACAAAAGCCCTTTGGTATTTGGGTAGATATTTTCAACCAAGCTGTTCAGAGATATTGCTACGCACCCCTGGAGCTGCTGGGATTTCAATCTGGCCTGCTGGCTCAAAAGTAGGGACACTACCACAAACCACAGGAACCCTTCAGTATTTGACTACTTTTAATCAGCTCAGGATGTTCCAAAATATTGTACAGTCTGTTTTTTAATTCATTATTTCATGCAACACAGATATTGGCAAGGCCAGTTTTGGGGTATTTTTAATCAATTCATTTAGAGATACAATGGCACACCTCTAGATCTGGTAGGACTTGAACCCAGGTCTCCTGGCGCAGAATTAGGTTGCTACCACTGCACCACAAGAACCCCTTGGTATTTAGGTATTCTGCAGTGAATGACTCCCAACACTCATCCACGATGTACAAGGTGCAAGTCAGGAGGTGATGCAATACCCTCTACTTGCCTGGATTAATGCAATTACAACAAATCTCAAGAAATTAACAACCTGCAGGCTAAAACAGTTTATTTAATTTGCACTACATAAGCATTCATTTCCTTGGTCACCAGTACACAGTGGCAGCAATGTGTACCATTTACAAGATGCACTGCAGTAACTCACCAAGGCTCCTTCAATAGTACCTTGGGACCTGCAATCTCTACCACCTAGTAAGACCAATGCGTCCACCACTTCCAAATTCTTATCAAAGTTGCACACTGTTGCGACTTGAAAATAAATTGCAGTTCTTTTGTCATCACTGGGTCAAAATCCTAGAACTCCCTTCCAACAGCACTGAGACAATCTTCACACATGACCACAGTGGTTCAAGAGGCCAGCTTACCACCACCTCAAGGAAAGTTAGAGATGGATAAGAAATTCTGGCCTTGCCAACCATGCTGCATTTCATGATTGAATAATGAGAAAAAAAGGTTTTTAACACTTTGCTATAAATTAACTGATATTTTTCTGTCCAATTTTAAAGATCGACAAGGAACCCCAATTCTGAGTCCAGATGGTTTACCTCTGTTTGGACATGGACGAGATAGTAAGCCTTTAGTTGACCCAAAAGGCAAGCCAGTTTTGTCAGTCGGGGGAAAGCCTGTCATTGGATTGATCCGTCACTTTGAAACGACAGTTGCACTTACAACCACAACAATCAAAACCATGGCTGCAACTACCACACCAGAGCCAACTACCACACCAGAGCCAACTACCACACCAGAGCCAACTACCACACCAGAGCCAACTACCACAGAGTTAACAATCAAAGCGACTACTGTAATTCCGTCATGTCCCACAAGGAGTAATATAAGATTGAATCAAGATGGTTACCCTGTTCTAGGTTCTGTTAATAATATTGAATGCTTGACTGAAGGTAAGAACCACTGGGCATTTCATTAACCATTATAAATGCAGTTTTCCAAATGAAGAGCATTTGATAATTGTTGTTTAAGTTGATTTTGTGATATTTGTCTCTGATTTGTCCTGACAATATCCAAGTTAGTTATACATGCCCATGACTTAGTATCGTTTGGTCACAAATTCTGTTTGCAGTGCTGGAATCAATACTTAACTACAAAGATCATTAGAAAAAGGTATACCACAAACTGTATCATTTCCAGCTCACAGCTGTGATATGGACTCTAATAACATGGTGACAGTCAGGGGCAGAGCACCATTTTAGCAGTCGATTGCACTCTACAAAACTGTTGGATATTAAATAAAAACCGAAAGAACTGCGGATGGTGTAAACCAGGAACAAAAACAAAGTTTCTGGAAAAGCCCAGCAGGTCTGGCAGCATCTGTGAAGCAAAAATCAGAGTTAACATTTCGGGTCCGGTGACCCTTCCTCAGAACTGATGGTGGCTGGGAAAACGTCGGTTTATATGCAGAAAATATGCAGAAAAAGAGAAAAACAGAGTTAATGTTTCGGGTCCAGTGACCCTTCCTCAGAACCGGACCCAAAACGTTAACTCTGTTTTTTCCTTCACAGATGCTGCCAGACCTGCTGAATTTTTCCAGCAACTTTGTTTTTGTTCCTGATTTTCAGCATCCAAAGTTCTTTAGGTTTTCGCTTAAATGGCTGCTGCCTGTCCAGCCTCACTTCTTTTGCCACCGCCCTAATTTTTCTTAATCTCCACCGTTAAAAGTGCGCAGGTGCTCCATCCCCATTCATTCGCTCTTCAACCCTGCCACGTCCTAGCCCTTTGTCGGGCCTGGACTCTGAAATATTGAATCTGACGGCTGCGTATAGTCATAGTCCTGGCCCCTGCTCCAACTGTCTTGGAGCTTTAATTGGATGTGGGGATGTGAGGAACCCCTAGAAATTCTATTATGTCTCACCTGATTCAGAATCCTAAAGCAAACAGCTAAGATTGCAATACAAAGATTGGTGTGTTAGTGCACATTCTGCAACAGAAATGCAAAATCTGCCATTTTGTAAAGTCAGCTCCCAGTATCTTACAGTCACCGAGCCAACAGCTGGGAACAAGAGCCAGAAGTCTCCTTTAGCTATTTGCTCCTCACCAGATATCTCTGCAAATCCCTCTCCTCACTTCCCCAGTGACCACCCCAACTCTCCTTATGCACCCTCTTACCCAATTCTCCAAACCTTCCCAGCTCCCCTTTCCTTTCTCAATTTCTCTCTCTAACCCACAGGCGCCTTCTTCGCACCCTTTCTTCTGTTTCTCTGACCCACACCCACAGTATCTATTTCTGCCCCCTCACCCCTCACCCAGTCGGTCTGTCTCTCCAATAAACCCCAATCTCTGTCTCTACCCATAACCACCATCTCTGGCTCTCCATCACTCCTTCAATCCCTCTCTTCCTAGTTCTTTCTTTTGTGGTGCAGGTTCAAAGGACCAAATAGCCTACTCCTGCACCTATTTTCTGTGTTTTTATTTTCTATGTTTTCCTCTTCCCCCATCTACACAACCCTCACAGGTTTGCTTGTGCACTCACACTCTCTCTCTCTCTCTCTCTGTCCCTGCCCCAGTCTTCCCCTCTCTCATACCAGTCATTTCCTCTCTCCATACCACCAGTCTTGCTCACTTGATCTGTCTCGCAGTCTTTTTCTCTCTCCTATGTCTTTTATTCTCTCTCTCTCTCCTGGTTTCTCCCTCTATGTTTCTCTCACTATAGCACAGTCTGTTTTTCTGTCTCTCATTCAATCTTCTATTCCTTCTCTTTGTTATCTCTCTCTACTTATATCTCCTCTATCCCCCCACACCAAGTCTTTCCCTTTCGCTCTGACCCACCTCCCAATGTTCTCTCTCACACACTCTTCCTGTCTCTCAGTCCCTCACTACCATTCCACAAGTGTTCCTCTTTCACCCTCAGCCTTTTTTTTTCTTTTTGTTTCTTACCCCCAAATCTTTCTCTTTCTCTTTCTCTATCTCACAATCACAATCCTTCTCTCTCACTACCCCAGGCATTTTTCTTTCTCTCCAATTCTTACTGTATCTACCTATCTCTCTCTCTCTCTCCCTGACTCTGTCTTTCTCTCTTTCTAGTGTTGCTCTCTCCTTCCCTCTCCTCTCCCTGTCCCCCCTACTCTCCCTGTCCCCCCCTTCCCAGTCCCTTCCCCCCCCTCCCCTCTCCCTTTCCCCCCCCCTCTTTCTCCCTGTGCCCCCTCTCCCCCCCCTTCCCCCTCTCCTTTCTGTTTATCTCTTTCTCTCCTTCTCTATCTCTCTCTCTCTCTCCATATCCCTGTCGCGCCCCCCCGGTCCGTCACTCCCTCCTTCTTGTGTCCCTGTATCACAAGTTGTGGTCTTTCTCTTTCTGTCCTTTTCTCTCTTCCCATCTTCTTTCTTTTCTCTCTCTGTTTCCACCCAGTCTTCCCTCTCTCCCCATGTCATTTTTCTTCTCTCTTGCTCTCTTTATCTCACCCTATACCTCAAGTCTGTTCCTTTCACTCACTTCTGTCCCAACCCCCCCCCAAAAGTCTTTGTCCCTCTGAGTCTTTTGCATTCTTACCCCCTACCACTCCTCACTCTTTCTTTCTCTATCTCTATCTCTCTTTCTCTTTCTCTCACTCATATTCCTTCCTCCAGTTCAATCAAAGAATCGTGGACAACTATTCTATTCCCTTTCATGTAGCAAACTTTGTATCCATTCCAGCTTTTATTCACTGGGCTTCAACTTTGTTGGTAAGCAGTTTACATGACCTTTTGTTCAAATACTTTTTTGAAAGACCCTTCTATAACTCCAGACAAGAACTGACCAATGTTTTACTTTCTTGGATGAGTCTGCTACATTTATATTGCTGTCTGATTATGGACCTTTCTATTCAAAATAGACAAAGTTTGAAATCCCTGGTTGTTACTACAAGAAAAAGCTACGAAGTTTCACATTTTTTAAACAAACAACATAAACTTTACTATAGCAGATTATTAAAGTGAAATAATGTGCAATGCATATGCACAGTCTAAATGAGAGCACAACCTATAATATCACTATTGACATGATATGAATAATGCTTAATAGAGAAAACTGTAGTTGAACATCCCACAGAGTACACCAAATAGCAGATGCAGTCAAGTCCAATTCCATGGATTCTTCAGCAACCTGCCCACATGTTAGTAACTCTGGGCCATCACATCTCTTTAAAATGTTGCCTCCATCACAATGAAGAATGTAGCTTTACTCAATATTCTCTGATAAGTCCCAACCTAACCTGTTGACTTGCCTACTTTAAATGTAGCCAGCCTTTATATCTAAACTATTTCCTCTTTCACACTGACTCTCTTTAAGAAAAATTTAGGATACAGGGGTCATGACACACAATTCCCTGGAACCAGACCCAGCTACACCACTTCCTTAGGTGCTTGCCAAGACAATTGTCATGAACATACTTCAGAAACTCATCTCTATTTCATCACTTCACACTATTAGAATAATACTAGGATAATTGAAGATAATTGAGAGAAAATGTACTTCTATAACAATTTAATAATTCAATCAGTAAAAATGTGTAATTACCTAGATGCATTGTTCAAATGTTGAACTTAAGTCTCTTTATTTCCATAGTAGCAAGACTTTCCTAACTGGGGAGAAAATGTGCTTTAGTAATACTGTGCTAAAGGCTGATATATTAAGTTAACCAAGCATACTGTACAATACTTAGGAAAGTAGTATATTGAGCAATGGCTTTTAATTGTAGACTGTACATTTGCAGTGTAGACTATTTAAAGCAAAATGCTTCTTGGCCATATTGAAATTAATCATAACACATTGCAATTAGAAATACTTTAGCAACAAAACATTTGACAGTGTGTTTCTTCATGCTCTTGAAATTAAGGTGTTGATATGTAACATGCAGCATCTCCTTAGTTGAAAGGATGTTTTAAAATTAGCTTGGTGCTCATAAAATCAGTGTTTCCAATGCTGAGTGATATTCGCATATGCCAGCATCAGTCAGGAAATTGTAGCTCTGATTCCTTATCCAATTAAATTAATCAATGGGAAATCCAGAGCTACAGATTGCACTTCAATGGATTGTAATTGTTTCCTTATCTGTCTGCAGAGGCTGATTAATTGGCAGGGTTGAATTTAGATGGGAAAACTGACAGCTTCATTAGATTCATAAGAGTTCCTGAAAAACATCAAAATTTGAATTTCCTTTCAGGATTGAATAAGCACACATACATATAGGAAACTACAAATACGTAAAACTAGACTCAAGATAGAAAATGCTGTCAATGTTGGATTAGATCAGTTGAGATCAATAAGGAAACAGTTAATGATATAGTGCTGATGAAGGGTTTTCATCCAGAAAGACTATCCCATTGATTTACATTTCTAGCATTTTGCTTTTACTTGAATAAGAATGTATCCTTTGAGTGATAAGTACCTTCTCACAGAAGTATTTTGTGACAACTTTCATTATCTTTTCCAATTAAGATTTGTTTTTGTGTAGATGACCTGGTAAATGAATCAAGTTTTCTTTGTGTCAGAGATAGTAGGAACTGCAGATGCTGGAGAATCCGAGACAACAAGGTGCAGGGCTGGATGAACACAGCAGGCCAAGCAGCATCTTGCAGCATCAAGCAGCCCTGCACCTTGTTGTCTCAAGTTTTCTTTGTGTGTTCAGTTGATTGTAGTTTCACAGTAAGTTCACAAAGTGAACCAAATCTAAATTCTGAAAGCATTTAAATGAATTTCCATTTCCATTATGAAGGTATTTAGCTACTTGTGATTGGTTAATATCATTGCTAAAATAAAATCCAAATGAATCCCATTAGAACATTCTACAACATTGGTAATAATTGTCAAGCAGCTTATCATCAGACAGAAGTGATATTTTACATTGATTTACAGAAATCCAAATTCTCAATTTCTCAAAATTCTCATTTTCTATTTACTCAATTTTGCATTTCAATAGAAGAGTCTTCTGGGATGGAATGGGATCTGGTAATCGTTCCCACAGAAAGTGATTCACTGGATTCCTTAGCCATTAAAGAAGGTACTGTCTGGTTGTGGCTGCTTCTCTTTCTAACTGCATTGTTAGCATTCTATACCCTGTCTTGTGAATCCCTGTGAGGTACAGAGATAGAACTGCAGAATCATGGAAATGATACAGCACAGAGTAGGCCAATCGGCCCAACTTGTCCATGCTGACCCAAAGACACCTCAATGCCTTTTCTAATTCTATCTTCCTGGATATGGCCCATAGCCCTGCAGCTTACAGCACTTTAAGTGTAGGTCCAGGTACTTTGGAAAAGAGCTTAAGGTATCAAGTGAAACAGGTTTCTCCTGTCTACTCTATCTCTATGCCTCAAAATTGTATATACCTCAATCATGCCACACTCAGCTTGCTCTGTTCCAAGGAAAACAATCGCAAACCCTCTAATCTCTCTCCATAGCCACAATTCTCTAGTTGCAGCAATATTCAAGTAAATCTTCTTTGCACTCTCTCCAAAGCAATTATGTCCTTCCTGTAGTATAGTGATAAGAACATACAGTACTTCAGTTGTGGCTTCACCAGTGTCTAATATAGTTTCATCAATATATCCCTACTTTAGTATTCTATACCTCTGCCAATGAAGGACAGCATTCCATATGCTGCCTTTACAACCTTATCTCCCCATACTGCTACCTTTAGGGACTGTGCACTTGCATACCAAGATCTGTCACTTCATCTACCACTCTCAGTATATTCCTGTTTGTGTATTCCCTTTTATGGTTTGACCTCCCATAGTGCATTATCTTGCACTTATTCAAGTTGAATTCCATCTGCCACTTTCCTGCCCAAACTATACTCTTTGTTACCTCTTACTAAGCCAACTTTGGATTGAATTTAACACATTACCTTGTATCCCCTGGACTTTTACATTTTTGACCAGTCTGCCATGTGGGACCTTGTCAAATGTCTTACTAAAATTTATGTCTACAACATCCACTGCACAACCCTCTTCGATTCTCCTTGTCACTTCCTTGAAGAATTCAATCAAATTTGTAAAGCATGACCTTCCCTCAACAAAGCCATGGAGACCTCCCTGACAAGTCCATGCCTTTCTAAGAGATAATTTATTTGATCTCTCAGGATTCATTTGCCTATCACCAAAGTAAAATGAACTGGCCTAGAATTATTTGACATTTCCTTTATACCCTTTATAAACAACAGAGCTACATTTGAATTCCTCTAGACCTCTGGCACCTCACCTGAGTCTAGTGAAGATTGAAAAATGATCCTCAGAGCATCTGCTATTTCCTTCCTGACCTCCTCCAACATCCTGGGGAATAATCCGTCTGGCCCTGGCAGCTTATCCACTTCAAAAATTTGAACTGCTACCTCACTTCCTCTCTCATTATAGTTATTTTGTCCAATATTTCATACTGCTCCTCGTGGATTACCACAGAGACAGAAAATTCATTTAAAATTCTTCCCAGATCCTCTGTATCTTCACACAAGTTCCCTTCTTCATCTCCGTTAGGTTTCCCTTTTTCTTTCGCTATCCTTTTGCTCTTTATATTACTGGTAAAACATCTTAGGGTTATCCCTTATCTTGCTTGCTAATATTTTTTCGTTTCCTTACTCCTTTTTTTTGCTTGATCCCTGTACTTTCTATACTTCTCTAGGCTATCTTGATTTTTTTTTGTTTGTTTGACTATCATCAGCTTTCTTTTTTCTGTTTAATCTTCCTCTGTATTTTTTGAAAATTGTGGGGGTCTAGATTTGGCAGTACCGTCCTTTCCTTGGAGGGGACATGCCTGCCTTTGTCCTAAGTATTTCATTTTTTAGCCTCTCCCACTGGTTTACCACTGATTCATCCTTCAGCAGTTCTGTCCAGTCCACCTCAACCACATCACTTCTCAGTTTTGTAAAGTTTGCCTTTCCCCGGTTAAAAACTTTTATTCCTGAATTATCTCTGTCCTTTTCCATATTACTAAATTTAATTGAATTGTGGTCACTATCCATGATATGGTCACTCACTGTCACTTTTGGGTTGCCCATCTTCATTTCCGAAAACTAAATCCAGAATTGGATCTGTTCTTGTTGGGCTTGTCACATATTGTTTAAAAATGTTTTCCTGATTAGGCACTTTTGGAATACTGCATTCAATTCTGGTCTTCCTGCTACAGGAAAGTTGTTGTTAAACTTGAAAGGGTTCAGAAAATATTTACAAGGATGTTGCTGGGGTTGGAGAGCTTGACCTAAAGGAAGAAGCTGAATAGGCTGGGGCTATTTTCCCTGGAGCATCAGAGGCTGAAGAGTGACCTTATTTAAGTTTATAAAATCGTGAGGGGCATGGACTGGGTGAATAGTTAAGGCCTTTTCCTCAGGGTAGGGGAGTCCAAAACTAGAGATCATATGTTTAAGGTGAGAGGGGAGAGACTTAAAAAGGACCTAAAGGACAACTTTTTCACACAGAAGGTGGTGCATGTACAGAATGAACTGCCAGAGGAAGTGGTGGAGGCTGGTACAATTAAAAGGCATCTGGATGGGTACAGGAATAGGCTTAGAGGGATATGGGCCAAATGCCAGCAAATGGGATTAAATTAATTTAGGTTACGTGGTCGGCATGGACAAGTTGGATTGAAAAGTATGTTCCCGTGCTGTACGTCTCTGTGTTTACACAGAAAATGAATATTTCACCCTCAATGTGCCTTGTATTGTTTGAAACCTAGTTGATATTGGGATTCTTAAAGTCCCTTACTATTTTTGCTCCCTTGTTCCTACAGGAAGAAACTTGTCTGCATATATGTTCATCTATCTCCCTCCCTCCGCTGGGAGTCTGTTGTAAATACGTAATACTTTGACTGCCTTTAATTTATTCCGAAGCTCAACCCATAAAGTCTCATTCGTTAACTCATTTAGTGCATCATTCCTTCTCACAAATGTGATTTGCCAACCCCACCTCTCTTTTTTTGGCACCCACTCTATCCTATCTGAAAACTCTATATCTCAGGATATTGAGCTGCCAAATTTACCCCTCCTTTAGCCAGATTTCTATTATAGAACGACACTGTGCTGCCATGTATCTATCTGTGCTGTTAGTCTATCTGCCTTGTTTGTAAAACTCCTTACATTGAAGTATAAACAACTCAGCCCTGTCAATTTCCTTTGCTTTCAAATGCTCATTTCTTTTGCCTTTGAATTGCTGACTACATCATTAACTAATGCTCTACCTCCCATTTCTGATCTGAATCTGACCCATCTAAGCCTACATTTGGTTTCAAATCCACTGCTGTACAAGTTTAAAACCTCTTCAATTGGAACTGGCAAAAGCCTCCATGAGGATATTTGTTCCAGCTCTGCCCAGGTACATCCTGTCAGGCTTGCACAGGTCCCATCTTCCCCAGAACCAGTCCCAATGCCTCAGGAATCTAAATACCTTCCTGATACATCATTTCTCCAGCCATGCATTCATCTGGTCTGTCCTCTTATTCCTGCTTTCGCTAACATGTTTCGAACATGTTTGAGGTGAAAGACGAAATGTCTTTTCTTTCCCTCAGACTGCTTTTAGTACTGTGTCAAAATAGTCGAAGTTGGCAAGTACCAGATAAATAATGTGGAACTGCATTAGAATGGTTTGTGAAGATTAACTGGGGAAAAAATGTTGATTGCTAGCAGTCATGAAATCTATGTTATCTTGCTGGTGGTTGCCATTCACCCTTATAATGTCAACTAATTGGCATTCCTCATTGGCACAAGTCCTTCTGTTTTCTGGTTTGTGTGAATGTTTTCTACTTCTCTTGGAATTAGCACATTGTAAAATGTGAAAGTTCTGCATAAAAACACGTGTGTCAACCAGAAGGGAATGAATGTGTTTCAGATGTAGTTCATCTAGCCAAAAGGTCGGTCTGCTCACTTAATGTGCCAACAAATAAGTTGTACTTACAGCACATTGGACTTGAAACCTCAAAAAATCGGGTTTGATGGCATGTTTTTAGGTAGTCTAAGACTGTACAGGGCTATATTAGGTTCAAGAGAATCATATTTTGCTCTTAGTATATTTCATGAAATATTTGCTGCAAGATAGTGACAAGCTAATGAGTTCAGATGTTGAAACTAAGAGTGGACCATAGCCAGACACTTTATAAGGATAAAACAAAATGGCCAGGAAACATGAGAAATTACAGGTAAGTGGAACCCATTGAATCTAACCAGCTCACTACTTTCAACATCCAGTCTTATTTATACTGACAGGGTCTTCATACAAAAAATTAATTTGAGAAAAGAACATACTTTTCTTACAGAAAAAATGTAGTCTGTTTCTCGTGAAATGATCTATGATGAGGGACAACACAGAACCTCCAGCGGGTTAGTGGCCAAGCTGTGTTCCTATGGTCTCATGCAAAATGTTCCGGGATTGATACCGGTTTTGAAACGGCTGCGCTGCTCCTTCATTATCCAGGCAACTTGTGTTGCCCACACTTTTTAGGGGGGCAGCGCAGTGGCTCAGTGGTTGGCACTGCTGTCTCCCAGTGCCAGGGACCCAGGTTCGATTTCACTCTTGGGAGACTGTTTACAGTTTGCACATTCTGCCCATGTTTGTGTGAATTTCCTCCGGGGTGCTCCAGCTTCCTCCCACAGTCCAAAGATGTGCAAGTTAGGTGGATAGGCCATGCTAAATTGCCCATAGTGTCCAGGAAGGTGTAGGCTAGGTGGATTAGCCATAGCAAATGCAGGGTTACAGGGATAGGGTGGGATGCCTCTTCGGAGTGTCAGTGTGAACTTGATGGGCCGAGTGGCTTCCACACTAGGGATTCTATTAAACATACTTTTATTAAGGCAATGGAATTTTATAAGTCCATATTTTTCCAAATGAGTGAATCCTATCCCTCAGAATATTCTCCAATAATTTCCCTACCACTAGCAAGGCTCACTGGCCTGTAATTTCTCAGATTAGCCCTCTTGTCCTCCTTAAACAATGGAACACTATTAGCTATTCTCCAATCTCCTGGGACCTCTCCTGTGACCGAAAAGGATACAATGATTTCATACAAGAGCCCAGCAAT